GGGTCTCTGTCCCGCACTGATGACCTCAGCAGTCAGACGGAGCAGACGGAGCGTTTGGCTGCAGTCGTTCCTGAGCTGAATGCTGAAGCTGAATACAGAGCGTCTCTCTGCTGCCGTCTTCTGGCCAGAACGTGCCACTGCAGGCTGTTTAATACTACACCTGCGTTCACATTGAGAAACACTGAGAGGCTCCTCACTCACGCTGATCACTATCTGCCCCTCTTCTCCACCCCCCCAATGTCTAACTGCCCCTCTCTTACTGCCCTCTAACCATAACTGCCCCTCTCCTCCTGCCCCGTAACCCCTGACTGCTCCTGGCCTCCTGGCCTTCTGCCCCCTAGTCCTTAACTGCCCTTCTTATCTCCTAACTGCACATATCCTCTGTCCCCCTCCATTAACCCCTAACTTTCCCTCTCCTCCTGGCCCCTAGCCCTTAACTGCTCCTCTCCTCCTGCCCCGTAACCCCTGACTGCTCCTGGCCTCCTGGCCTTCTGCCCCCTAGTCCTTAACTGCCCTTCTTATCTCCTAACTGCACATATCCTCTGTCCCCCTCCATTAACCCCTAACTTTCCCTCTCCTCCTGGCCCCTAGCCCTTAACTGCTCCTCTCCTCCTGCCCTCTAACTCCTAACTGCCCCTCTTCTCCTGCCCTCTAACCCCTAACTGCTCCTGGCCTCCTGTCCCCTAGCCCTTAACTGCCCCTTTTCTTCTGCCCTTAACCCTTAATTACCCCCTCCTCCTGCTCCCTAAATGCTTCTCTCCTCCTGCCCCTAACCCCTAACTGCCCCTCTCCTTCTACCTCCTAACCCCTAACTGCCCCTCTCCTTCTACCTCCTAACACCTAACTGCCCCTCCTTCTGCCCCAACCCCTAACTGCCCCTCCTCCTGCCCTTAACCCCTAACTGCCCCTCTCCTCCTTCCCTCTAACCCCTAACTGCCCCTCCTCCTGCCCTCTAACCCCTAACTGCCCCTCCTCCTGCCCTCTAACCCCTAACTGCCCCTCTAAGCCCTAGCTGCCCCTCCTCCTGCCCTCTAAGCCCTAACTGCCCCTCCTCCTGCCCTCTAAGCCGTATATACTACTTTTATTAATCTTTAATAGATGAATAAGAGAACGAACAGATTCTTGCTCTGTTGCTATTTGAGCCTCATCTTATTAACTGCAGTCAGATTATTTACTTCAGGGTGCGTTTTTATAATAATGACCCTGATCATAATAAATATCCATCTTATTTCATTACTGTATTCATTAAATCAGCTCAGTGTAAAAGCAGCCATTGTTGCTTAGTAACCGGTGGTCCCGGGAATGATGCAGGTGGGGTGAAACACGTCTGAGGGAACTTCTGAACCAATCAGACAGCGTGTGGGCGGGGCAAACAGTTGTGTGAAAGGTAAAATGTCAGTGGAGTCCAGTGAGTGTAATAAAAATAGCCGCGGTGGTCACTCCCTCCTTCGGAGCGCCTATCAGCGTTCAGCTCTCACCTGCACTGCGCTCGCCCCACTTCTCTGGACCGGACGCTGCTGTTCGCTCAGGGTTTCGTCCACTTCTGTCTCGTTTCTCAGCTCCTCTTCTGACTCCTCTGAGGCTGCTGTGAAGTGTGGAGGTGTTTCTGCTGGTTCTCATCTGCTGGACTGTGGACTGGACTGTGTGGTGGTCCTGAAGCTGGAGTTTCCTCTGTGACCTTCAGTTTGGACTGTTTAGGATTTGTGGGTAAAGGCTCATCCTGGTCTTTATGTATGTCACTAACCCTCTGCTCTTCCTTTTTACCTCTCTCTCTGTATCTCTCTCTCTGTATCTCTCTCTCTCTCTGTAGAGCCTGAGGCTCTGTGTCAGTGAGACTTTGTGAACAGTGTTTGAGTGAGTTGAGTTCACTCACTGTCTGTGCTGCTAATGTGGACGTGGTGTAGCGGTCTGGGCTTATTACTGTCACTTTACTGTGCTATTACACTATAATTACACTATTTATTACACAGCTAATTACAAGGCGAGCACGACATTGTTGTCCTTATTATTCCTTTTGATCTTCTAATGCAGTTAAAACAGATAAGACCACTTAACGTACAATTCAAACACCGTTTCGTAGGCGACTCCAGCAGCAGGTGTGCTGTCTGTTTTTCATTGCCATCTAGTATGTTGTTTGCAGTCATGTGATTCCAATGACATGCGAAAGGACAGGAAGTGAAAGCAGAATGGATGAGATGGGGGCTCATACTGCACCAGTTTAGACAATATTACGAGAGAAAAGTACAACCCATTTTCTAAAAAGTTGGGACGCTGAGCAGAATATAAATAAAAATACAACGCAGTGACATGCAAATCATGTAAACCATATTTTTCATTTTTTAAAAAAATCAAATGTTAAAACTGAGAAATTTTAATGTTTTTTGAAAAATATTTGCCCATTTTGAATTTGATGCCAACAATACGTTCCAAAAAAGTTGGGACGGGGGCCTGTTTACGACTGAGTTTCATCACCTCTTCTTTAACAACACTCTGTAAGTGTTTGTGAACTGAGGAGACACTGCTGTAGTTTAGAAAGTGAAATGTGGTGAAAGGTCTGGACCTCAGACAGGTCAGCTTAGCACCTGGACTCTTTTACTAAGGAGCAATGCTGCTGTAATACATGCAGAATGTGGTTTAGCATTGTCTTGCTAAATAATCAAGGCCTTCCCTGAAAAAGACGTCGTCTGGACGGCAGCATATGTTGCCAAAACATGTATATATCGTTCAGCATTAATGGTGCCTTCACAGATGTGCACGTCACCCATGCCATGTGCACTAATGCCCCCCTATACCATCATGAATAGTGGCTTTTGAACTGTGCACTGATAACAAGCTGAGTGATCTTTAGCCTGGAGGACACAGTGTCCATGATTTCCAAAAAGAATTTCAAATGTTGATTCGTTGGACCACAGGACACTTTTCCACTTCCCCTCAGTCCATTTTAAATGAGCTCAGGCCCAGAGAAGGTGGCAGCGTTTCTGGATCCTGTTTACATACAGTTTCTTCTTTAGGTTTTAGAGTTTTAACTTGCATTTGTGGATGCAGCGATGAACTGTGTTCACAGACAGTGTTTTTCAGAAGTGTTTCAGAGCCCATGCAGTGATTTCCACTACAGAGTCATGTCTGTTTTTAATGCAGTGCCGCCTGAGGGCCAAAAGATCATGGTGTTGTTGGCATCAAATTCAAAATGAGCTTATATTGTCATAAAAAAAAAATTAGTGAAATATAGGGTTTAAATGATTTGCACATCATTGCATTTTGTTTTTATTTACATTTTGCACAGCATCCCAAGTTTTTGGAAATGGGGTTGTATAAACAGAAAATTACAGCATCTCCCTGCTGTCAGAGCAAAACCTCATGTTATGCCTGATTGGTGTATATTTATGGAAATTGTTGTTGTCGGAAGAAAACCTTGTATCTCCAAAACGGTTATGTGGCATGCACCCGTCCCGATGACGACTGCGAGAGCTGGCATGAAGCAGGGGCCGAACCCCTGCCCTCTCAAGGACGAAGCCTTGCGAGGACAGCAGGGAGAGGAGAACCGCATGTGAGTGGGGGACAGCGCAAGAGTCCCGAGCCACGCCTCCTACGCACAGTCCCGCAGCTGGGCTGCCTGGATGAAGGACTGGAGGTGGGGCTTGGGACTCGCGCAACCGGGGGGACGGGTGCATAAAACAGGTAACTTTACAGGAGAAGGAAAAAACATTAGTTTTAATGTAAATTAGTGTAACCAGACTTTTTTCCAAGCAGTTTTTGGTCGTTTATTTAATCCTGAAATTAACACACAAAGCACCCTGTACTGACAGCAGTGATATGCTGGACGTGATCCTTCTGTTATGAACAGGACCTGAATGACTGGCAGCAGATATCAGCAGCGACCTCGTCCTCCAGACGTCCTTCTACTCAAGAACACTAATGAAAGCACACAAAAGTGTGGAGGCACAATTTAACAAAGCTTCCTAATCGAATGTTCCCGATTCACCTTAATGGTGCAGCAGTTACTATTATAAGACATGACGCCAGACTGTAACTGCTGCACCGTTTAAGGTGGAACTGGAACATTGGAAATGAAGCTGTCATGGCAGGGTGAGTTATTCAGCCTTCTGTGCAGCTGTTAACCTGTTCATGCTGATTGGAGTTACAAATGATGCAGATGAGCTTGTGACAGCTTCCTGTTTAGAACATCACTTCCTGTCCTCCATCTGCAGGTCACACCACAGCAACGCAGTGACGTGACGTCACATGCAAACAACCTATTGTCCTGTCGTTTGGTGGAAGCTGGTTTAAGTGGAGCCTGTCCACTTCTTGTTTCTCCCATTATACCAAAAACACGACTGTAAGACACTAGAGGGCGCCATGGAGAGTCCTCGGTGAATGGGGGTGAATGGAGCTGAAATGGCTAAAGACTTTTCTAACCATGTATTGGGGAACCTACACTTAGTGTGGGGAATGGTTCTATTCAGAGCCATGAGTTCTATACAGAACAGTTTCATGCTGAAATGGTTCTTTGCATAGTGGAATGGATGGATTGACGGAGAATGTGTTGTCTATGGTTCCATGTAAACCAAAAGGGGTTCTGATATTGTTACAAGATTGACATCATAACAATAGCAGAATCCTCTTGGTGCTATATAGAACCCTTTTAAAAATGACATTGTCCGTTAATCTGTAGAACCATTTTACCATGCAAAGAACCATTTAAGCATGTAAAGTCTTCTTCACAGAACTCATGGTTCTAAATAGACCCATTCCCCACACTAAAGAACCCTTGAAGGAGTGTAGAAGCTTACCCAGTGTCTTTCAGTGTGGTTCTGCTGTTCTATAGCCGGATCCTAACATCACTGCTCCTAAGATTTTTTCTCCTTTTTTCTTCTTCTTTTCTTTGTTGTTGTTGTGAATGAGTGCAGACCTGCTGTGATGAAGAGCAAACAGAACCGAAATCTGGTTCTCGTACAGAACTTAAAGGGTTAAACGGCTCCTCTCTCTTTTCCGCTCTTTAGAAATATCGTTATCAGGATGAAGAGACTCCGCCCCTGGAACACAGCCCTGCCCACCTGACGGCCGGAAAGAGCGGAGAGCTTTTGCACCTTAGCGACGCGAGCCACACCCCCATGGACGGTGTCCATGGTTACGCCCCCCATACACACATATCACCTGCAAAGGTATGAAGACCATTTCATTCACTTCCTCACTCTGTCCGTCTGTCCTTCCGCCTGTCTGTCCGTCTCTCCATTTGTTGATCATTTTGTTTCTTTATTTATTTAGTTCTGGTTCTTTTGCATCCCAGTCATTACAGGTTATGTTATTCTGAGCTATGATTGGCTGGTTAGTTGGTAGAGAGTTTGTAGTGTGTCTGCATAATTAGCTGGTTAAGATGTAAACAGAGTCGTTCAGAGCGGTTTGGTGTGAAACGCTCCATTCTAGATAAACTTACCGAGTCAGAACTGTTCACAGTGGTGGTGATAGGAACCAGACGTCCCCCTCTAAAAGCTCCCTCACAGAAAGTTCCTACATGAAATGGTTATGAATTCACTGCCTGATGACTGAGACACTGTTTTATGATAGTTTAGAGAACTTAAACTCCATTCATGGTGGAGGGATACATGCAGGGCGCTGTGAGGCGAAATAGTCCCCAAAGAAAACTTATTATTTCAGATTTTCCACTATTTTCATCATCAACATTCCATATAAACTCAGAAGACTCGTGTAGGTTCACTGGTGGTTCTGGATAGTAAATAAAATGTCTATATCTGTGTTGTAGTCATGGCGACCCCTGGTTCCTATCACCACCACTGTAAAGACATCTGAACCATTTCACACCAAACCACTCTGAATCACTCTGAATTATGCCAAACAGCAACAGCCTTCTGGGCTAGATGTTGAACATTGCTATGAGGATTTCACTGAACATTAGTGAGGACAGGTTCTGATGTTGGATAGTCAGTTCTGGATCACTCCAACTCATCCCAAAGGTATTGGATGGAATTTCATAATTCCATAATTTGTCCATGGCTGTCTGGCTTTTTTTTTATGTATAGTCCATTTGTTTGTTTGTTTGTCTGTTTGTTTGTTTATGTTTTGGTGTAGCAGACGTGATACTGTTTAGATCAGAGAGGGACGGTTCTGGGCATAAGAGTCACTCTGAGCTGAGAGTATGTTGGCTGAATAAGAAAGTAAAGTTAGAGTGCCCCTGTGTGGCCGTCAGCGGAAGTGAGTTTTAGCACCTTGGAGAGCAGTACTGATCCAAACGCCCCCCCATCAGATTATCTGCCAGCATGGAGATGAACTCTCTAGGCTCTGACGGAGTGCTCAGAGCTCCATACACTGAGACATGACCGTGTTTGGTTCCCTGAAGAACCAGTAAAGTGTGAGTGTGAAGAAGCTCCTCAACATACACTAGTGGAAGGAATCTCTAAGCTAGTATAGAAGGTTAGAGGTTCTTCATAGTCACAGGTCTCTTTTTCAAACACGGTTCCTCCATTTAGAGAACCCTCTGTGGAGTCTCTAAGTCAGCGGTGATGGTTGGTGGTTTAGAGCAGCCTGACTTGGACACCTGTCCAAGTAGTTAGATGTTATCACTGGAGATCGAGGATGATGATGGTGGTGATTTGGTATATGTTGACTACACATTATATTCCTCATCTGCATCTATTATTTTCTCTCCCCACCTCCATTTCTCTCTCTCTGTCCATGATTCTCTCTCAAAGCTCCTCTTTAACTCTCTCTTTAAGCCCTTACCAAGCCGTTGGACCCACCAGCGGGCCCGAAATTTTATTACATACTTTTATAACCTAAGAATAGCTCCATTAGTTTGCATTGAAGTCCCTGTAGTTACTGAATAATAAGCTTTAGTATGTAATAATCCTGTAATGTTAAGGGGTAAATTAATAGTTCAGTGAAAAATTCTAATTTATGCAGTTTTCCACTGAGCCCGGACGTAGTTCAGCTTAAAAAATATGTCATGTGGTAACAAGCAAGTAAACTAGTTTTATTCAACTATCGTTTATTCAAAGAATTTATTTGGATTCAATAAAACTAATAATTTACTTGTTACCACATGAAGTAATTCCTTAGATTGAACAGACGAGCCACTTTTTACAGTGTTCTTTATGTTCTTTAGAACTGGAGCTGTGAAGCTAATGTTGCTAACAAACACTAGAGGTCAATAGTCACCCAAATCTTTTCTGTAAATACATCCTCAAACCTCCTCCAGCTCTTCAATCTGGTGGTGCAGACATGTCGATGTGGTTTAGGACACAGTGCGACTCACTGAGAGCTATAAACATGAACTAAACTCCACCGTGTACACTTTTAAAAAGACGGTTCTCCAAGGGTTCTGTAGTTAAGAAAGACATTTGCATGATTAAAGCGTTGGTGGTGAAACGGGTCTTTGGATTGATGGTGAATGTGTTGTAGATGGTTCTATATATGTCCAAAAAGGGTTCTGCTTGTGTTACAATGTCAAGCTTGTAACAAAAGAAGAACCCTTTTTGGTGCTATATAGAACCCAAAAAGATTTTATATAGAGCCATGGACAACACATTCTCCATCCATCTGAAGAATTATTTTACCATGCAAAGAACCATTTAAGTATGTGGTTCTATATAGAACTCAAGATTTTCATGGCTCTGAATAGAACCATTCCCTTTACTAAAGAACCCTTGAAGAATCATCTTTGTGTAGAAGAATGTAGTCCTTTAAAAAATTACCACTCATCAATCTGAACAATGCTTTGACCAAACCTTAATCATGCAAAGAGTTCTTTGAGTGTTCATGGTTCTATATAGAATCATTTTCTTTATTAAAGAACCCTTGAACCCCTCTGTAAAAACCCTGCAGGCACTTCAGACGAGCAGGTGCTGTGCTGAACTTCAAACTCTACAAGTCTGCATCACCTTCATGAAGACCTGGCTGAGGTTTGAGCAATTTGAGAGAAAGTTTATAGATGTATTTACAAAAAAGATTTGGGTGACTATTGATTTCTAGTCTTTGTTAGCAACATTAGCCTCATTGCAGTTCTAAGCTAAAGAAGCAAAATGTGGACACCACACCAGTCTTGGCTGATCTACTACATCCAGGGTCAGTGGAAAAGTGTGTGTGCCCTGCGCCTGTCCCCGGGGCCCTGATGACAGCCATGAGCATTGGCGGGAAGGCGGGGCCCGAATCTTGAACATGGCGGGAGGAGGACATCAGCTACCAGAGAGGGGACGACGAAAATGATGATGGCTTGTCCGCCTGGGTCGAAACATGAGGTCCAGTGAAGTGGCCTTGCAGCAGAACAGGAGGCGGGGCCCGGGCGGCAGATTCGCTTCCTGCCTTTGTGCCTCTCGTGGCAGCCATCGTCATCGTCGTGCATCATCGTCAGCTAGCGTCCTCCTCCCACCATCACTTGCATCCCTCTGTAGTGTTCAGGATTCGAGCCCTGTCTTCCCACCAGCTCTCGCGGCGCAGGGCACACTGTGTAATTTAGAATTTTTACCAAACTATTCCTCTATAATTACCTCAATTTTGCTCTTGTTCTACTCTGACTGTCCCTTCAGTGGTATTTGTATCTAAATGCCCCACACTAAAGGCCATTACACACAAAACACGACCAAAATGCAGAAACTCAGATTTGATTTTTCCACATCAAAACTATACACACCAGATCAGAAAGGTCCTCTGCTTCTCACAAAACAGACAGAGTGTGACGGTGTGCAGGATGCTTTTCTCTGTGGAGAAGCGAGAGGAGAACAAAGAGTTTCTCCACCTCATGCAGGAGCTGAAACTGTACAAGAGCTTCTCTCACAGCTGGGATCTCAGCTGAGTCTGAGCTGATGTTGGAACAAAGCTCAAAACAAACAGGCTGCAGATAAGATCCGATTCTTTGCTCCCTGCAGGACAGACAGACAGAGACGTTGGGCTACTGTCCATTTTGGAAAAGATGAAAGTAGAGTGAACAGCCTAACACTCCACTCAGAAGCTCAATACGTTCTTCCACATTTAACTCGATGTTTGAAGCTCAGTTTGAGATGCTTTTGGAGATTCTGGTCTTTCTGATGTTTGTAAAAAGTTCCTGTTGCTGGTACACAACCAGTTTGTTACCTTGGTTGTAGCCATCTGAATCAGAATGTTACACGTACAAAAAATTAGTGTTGGTGAGTCACACATGATGGACATTTAACTCTCTGAACAGACCAAAAATACAATAAAAATACAAAAACAGATTAATATATAAAAAGAGCCACTGTTAAATGAGCCAAAGAGATGTGTGAATATCTGTATATGTGCAGACACAAGCAGCTCTCCCAGAAAAGGACGGCATGCCCCCTCCAGGTGAGGGGAAAGGAGCTGCCCCAGGTGGAGGAGTTTCAGTATCTTGGGGTCTTGTTGACGAGTGATGGGAAGAGGGATGGTGAGATCGGCTGCACGCTGGGACAGGCAGCAGCAGTGATGCGGTCACTACCGGACTGTAGTGGTGAAGAGGGAGCTGAGCCATTAGGCAAAGCTCTCTGTTTACCAGTCGGTCTACATCCCCACCCTCACCTGTGGTCATGAGCTTTGAGTAATGGGATCGAACGAATGGGATCACAGATACCAGCAGTGGAAATGAGCTTTCTGCACAGGGTGGTGGCTACACTTTACTGACAGGGTGAGGAGCTTGGTCATCCAGGAGGAGCTCAGAGTAGATCCCCTATTTCTCCTCATTGAGGGGTGCCAGTTGAGGTTGTTCAGGCATCTGATCAGGATGCCCCCGAAAGCCTCCTGGTGGGGGGGTTGACCAGGCATGGCAGACTGAGACGAGACCCTAAGGTCGTCCCAGGACCCGGCTGGAGGGATTATATCTCCAAGTTGGCCTGGGAGTTGCTCGGGGTCTCCAGAATGAGCTAGAGGAAGTTGCGGGGGACAGGGCCATCTGGGATTCTCTGCGATCCCTATTGCAACCGTGACCCTATCTGGATCAAGTGGTTTAAGAAGATGATGATGATGATGATGAGGTCTGAGTGGACATACTGTAATCAGTATTATATACAGAATGTTGATTGGTCAGTGAGTTCATGTCACTGGAGAAAGTTCACAAAAACTGACCAGAGGACGAATAAAATGGTATCACATTTTACGCCATCTTGGTGCGCAAGATACCGTCAGTTAAACGTGCTCGAATTCATTTACTGTCGTCTGTATAAATCACATGATCAAATTGTGTTGGTGTGTAACGGCCTCAAATCAGAACTGCTGATCCTGTTCTGTCATAACTTCCCCGAATGTGTGACCACCTGCTTCTCCATATTTGACCCAGTTCAGTTAGATGTAGCCTGTTTGAGGGCTTTACCTGCTTTAGCTGACTCCGCCCTCACACTGATGATAACCTCTCCTGTGTTGTTGTTGTTGTTGTTGTTGTTGTTGTGATGTGTGTGTTTTGTGTTATTGCAGCCTGTGTTACTACCCAGCAGCCACGCCCCCTATTACGCAACCTCAACTCTGGTAAGCCCAAACCCAGTCTTCACCATCATCATCATCATTATCAACAACACATTTAACAGCATGCGAGCAGTTGCATGAGTGCTGACCAGCATTAGCATTAGCATTAGCATTAGCCTGCTTTCACATCACATGAGCGCCAGAGAACCTGTGAATTTACTCGCTGACTGTCATCTGTACAAAGCAGAGCTTTATTAGGATGTTTGGAAGCATCAGAGATCTTCATCTGTCTATCTATATTTAATCCAATGTAATCATGGCCAGTTCCACCTGCGACGTAGGTCTCCTCCAACTACACGATGTTACCAACCTTCAAGGGTAAAGGTCAGCACGAGCTTCCTCCAAGACACGTGTCCTACCTGTGCCCAGAGAATGGTGGGTTATCCTTTTGAGTCTCAGTTCCTGTCAGTGGTTCTTCGTCATGCTCTCAGAGGGCTGGGTCCTCTAATTGAGCTCCTGGACAGAGCGCTCAGAGGATGGGTCCTCTGTTCGAGCTCCTGGACAGAGCGCTCAGAGGGCTGGGTCCTCTAATTGAGCTCCTGGACAGAGCGCTCAGAAGGCTGGGTCCTTTGTTCGAGCTCTTGGACAGAGTGCTCAGAGGGCTGGGTCCTCTATTTCAGCTCGTGGACAGAGGGCTCAGAGGAGTGGGTCCTCTGTTCAAGCTCCTAGACAGAGCGCTTATAGGGCTGGGCCCTCTGTTTGAGCTCCTGGACAGAGCGCTCAGAGGACTGAGTCCTCTATTTGAGCTCCTGGACAGAGCGCTTAGAGGGCTGGGTCCTCTGTTTGAGCTCCTGGACAGAACGCTCAGAGGCTGGGTCCTCTATTTGAGCTTCTGGACAGAGCACTCAGAGAGCTGGGTCCTCTATTTGAGCTCCTGGACAGAGCGCTCAGAGAGCTGGGTCCTCTATTTGAGCTCCTGGACAGAGCGCTCAGACAGCTGGGTCCCCTATTCGATCGTCACTATTATTTATGTAACTATTAGCTTTTTTCTTTACATGTAAAACCAATTAACCAATATTGCCCCAATAAAGGGGTTTAAAAGTCTTATGATCTTATCTCATGTTCTGAACTTTCCCTGAACATACTGAGAGCGTTGGGAGTTTTAAAGAACAAGGGAATGGATTGATGGATTTGTTGGAGAGTTGTGGAGTGATTGTAACTCTGCTGTAATACACAGCCTGGCCAGTGGAGGGTGCAGTTGGACTGTTTGTGCTGCAGCAGTGTTTTCAGGATGAATCTGTGGCCTAAAGGCTGAGGTCACTGCAGTGCAGCAAAGCGTCTGGCCTCTTCAGTCTGTAACCATAGCAGCCCAACGCTACCCAGAATTCACTGTTCCTCAGAAAGCCGCTCTGAAGTGGACTCAGGAGATTTTAGGATTCTGTCAACATTGTAAATTTCCATAATGTGCTAGTTCAGGTTCTTGAATTTCTAACATTGTTTTATACATCTATAATCTCCTCTTTTAGTATTACACAGCCTACAATGTTATGTTTTTTGATGTTTATAATGTGCTGTTTTAGTATTCTAGAACCTATAACACGAGGTTTTGTATTTTTAGAACATGGGGACTCTCTGCAGGTCCTGGAGGACCAGTTTGGGAACGTCTGGTTCAGATTGGGATATTTTAGGACTCACAGCCAGAGACAGAGCTTCATGTGGATTTAATGCAGATTTCATGCAGATGTATATGATGTCATAAAGGGTCTCTGTCTGTCAGGTCACTGGGTTTACATCGCTATGGTTACACAGCTATGAATATTTAAATATCAGTGGCAGTCACACATCACCACCACTAGATGGCTGTGAGTGTGTGTGTATGTTTGTGTGTGTGTGTGTGTGTGTGTGTGTCTCTGAGTGTGTGTATGTGCATGTGTGTGTGTCTGTGTGTGTGTGTGTGTGTGTGTGTGTTTGTGTGCGTGTGTGTGTGTGTGTCTGTGTGTGTGTGTGTGTGTGTGTGTGTGTTTGTGTGCGTGTGTGTGTGTGTGTGTGTGTACCTTTAGGAGTTTGTGAATGAGGATCATTCATATTGTGTTTACAACACACACACACACACAAACACATATAATGCGTACACTGACACACAAATACACACACTGACACACACACACAGACGCACGCATTGCCACACACATATACGTTTTCACACACCCAGAGACACACACATCGACACACAAACACCGAAACAAATGTTGACACACATGCTGAGACACACACACACACACACACACACATGCTGGTGCACACACACAAACACTGACACACACACAGAGACAGTGACACAAACACTGACACACACTGAGATACACACACACACACAAACACTGACACACACACTGAGACACTGACACAAACAGTGACACACTGAGATACACACACACAAACACACATATGCTGATACACACATTGACTGACATACAAACACACACATGCAACATACACACTGACATAGACATACACACACAACTAAAACACATGCAAATACACACACACGCACACACACACACACACACTGAAACATTCACACACACACTGACAGACACACCCACCACATTCTCTCCCCCGCTTACTCGCATATGCACATAGGCAGACATATCACCATGGAGATGACAGGGATGTTGGTCTCCATAGCAACAAGACTTCCCAGTGTTTCTCTGGCTTTATTTGAAGGGGGGAGGAGGAGCGAGCGAGAGAGAGAGAGAGAATACGAGACTGCAAGGTGAGAGAGAGAGATAACAAATACAAGAAGAGAGAGAGTGAGAATACAAAAGGAGAGAGAGAGAGAGAAAGAGAGAGAGAGAGAGAGATGCAGTGTGGTGTGTTGTTATTAAAGGGATACATACTGAACAGAAAATTACCCAGAATCCTCAGCAGCTAAATCTTAGCTCAGCAGTTTCCTTTCATTCCAGCTTCCATTCTGTTCAGGAGCCTCACTTTCAGTTCCTCAAAGAATCTGCAGACACACCTCCAAAGTTCAGTCTTAGAAGCTGGTTGATCATTTTCTGAAGTAATCAAACACATTCAGGGAGTGGGGGTGCTGTGATGTAAGGGTGCTGTGGTGTGGGGGTGCTGTGGTGTGGGGCTGCTGTGGCGTGAGGGTGCTGTGGTGTAGGGGTGCTGTGGTGTAGGGGTGCTGTGGTGTGAGAGTGCTGTGGTGTGAAGGTGCTGTGGTGTGGGGCTGCTGTGGTGTGAAGGTGCTGTGGAGTGCTGTGGTGTGAGGGTGCTGTGGTGTGAAGGTGCTGTGGTGTGGGGTTGCTGTGGTGTGAAGGTGCTGTGGTGTAGGGGTGCTGTGATGTGAGGGTGCTGTGGAGTGCTGTGGTGTGGGGCTGCTGTGGTGTGAGAGTGCTGTGGTGTAGGGGTGCTGTGGTGTGAAGGTGCTGTGGTGTGGGCCGCTGTGGTGTGAAGGTGCTGTGGTGTAGGGGTGCTGTGGTGTGAAGGTGCTGTGGTGTGGGCCGCTGTGGTGTGAAGGTGCTGTGGTGTAGGGGTGCTGTGGTGTGGGGCTGCTGTGGTGTGAGAGTGCTGTGGTGTGAAGGTGCTGTGGTGTGAGGGTGCTGTGGTGTGAAGGTGCTGTGGTGTGGGCCGCTGTGGTGTGAAGGTGCTGTGGTGTAGGGGTGCTGTGGTGTGGGGCTGCTGTGGTGTGAGAGTGCTGTGGTGTGGGGGTGCTGTGGTGTGAGGGTGCTGTGGTGTGGGTGCTGTGGTGTGGGGTGCTGTGGTGTGGGGTGCTGTGGTGTGAGAGCGCTGTGGTGTTGGGGTGCTGTGGTGTGAGGGTGCTGTGGTGTGAGGGTGCTGTGGTGTGGGGTGCTGTGGTGTGAGGGTGCTGTGGCGTGAGAGCACTGTGGTGTGGGGTGCTGTGGTGTTAGGGTGCTGTGGTGTGGGCTGCTGTGGTGTTAGGGTGCTGTGGTGTGGGCTGCTGTGGTGTTAGGGTGCTGTGGTGTGGGTGCTGTGGTGTGGGGTGCTGTGGTGTGAGAGCGCTGTGGTGTTGGGGTGATGTGGTGTGAGGGTGCTGTGGTGTAGGGTTGCTGTGGTGTGAAGGTGCTGTGGCGTGAGAGCGCTGTGGTGTGGGGTGCTGTGGTGTTAGGGTGCTGTGGTGTGGGCTGCTGTGGTGTTAGGGTGCTGTGGTGTTAGGGTGCTGTGGTGTAGGGGTGCTGTGGTGTGAGAGTGCTGTGGAGTGCTGTGGTGTGGGGCTGCTGTGGTGTAGGAGTGCTGTGGTGTGAGAGTGCTGTGGAGTGCTGTGGTGTGGGGCTGCTGTGGTGTGAAGGTGCTGTGGTGTGGGGTGCTGTGGTGTAGGGGTGCTGTGGTGTGAGAGTGCTGTGGTGTGAAAGCACTGTGGTGTGGGGCTGCTGTGGTGTGAAAGCACTGTGGTGTGGGGTCCTGTGGTGTGAGATCACTGTGGTGTTGGGGTGCTGTGGTGTGAGGGTGCTGTGGTGTGGGGTGCTGTGGTGTAGGGGTGCTGTGGTGTGAAGGTGCTGTGGCGTGAGAGCGCTATGTGTGGGGTGCTGTGGTGTTAGGGTGCTGTGGTGTTAGGGTGCTGTGGTGTAGGGGTGCTGTGGTGTGAGAGTGCTGTGGAGTGCTGTGGTGTGGGGCTGCTGTGGTGTGAGGGTGCTGTGGTGTTGGGCTGCTGTGGTGTGAGGCTGCTGTGGTGTTGGGCTGCTGTGGTGTGAGGGTGCTGTGGTGTGGGGCTGCTGTGGTGTGAGGGTGCTGTGGTGTGGGGCTGCTGTGGTGTGAGAGTGCTGTGGTGTAGGGGTGCTGTGGTGTGAGAGTGCTGTGGTGTGGGGCTGCTGTGGTGTGAGGGTGCTGTGGTGTGGGCATGCTGTGGTGTGAGAGTGCTGTGGTGTGAGGGTGCTGTGGTGTGGGGCTGCTGTGGTGTGGGTCTGCTGTGGTGTGAGGCTGCTGTGGTGTGAGAGTGCTGTGGTGTGGGGGTGCTGTGGTGTGAGGCTGCTGTGGTGTGAGAGTGCTGTGGTGTGGGGGTGCCGTGGTGTGGGCATGCTGTGGTGTGAGAGTGCTTT